CCAATAAGGCCACTGCGCTGGTCACTGGCCGTGCTGCCAAGGTGGCGCCAATGTAGATGCAGCCTCAGGTGTCCATTCGCACTGGTGAGGTCTAGGCGAGAGGCTGAACTGCCCTTCTATGCCGGAGGAATCCCCTCTGGTGACCACGGTGGGGCCATTGACGCCTGAGTCAGAGACTGGTGCCCGGAACAAGGGGACGGTGCTGGTATTGAGTGGACTGGTGCCACTGCCGGGGGGACCGGAGATGTGACAGAAAATGCTCCCGCAGGGCAGACGACCAGGATCTGCACCAAGAGGACGACCAGCGAGAGAGCAAATGGTGCTAGTAGTACAGAGACAGGAGTCTCCCTCGAGGCAATGTGTGTTGAGACGGCGGGGACCGCGATTGTGGTGCTGGTGACCGAGGGCGAGCCCCAGAGTGTCTGGACTGCGACTCCGGCAATCTGCAGCGTTGAGGTGGAGAGCGCCGCTTTGTCTTGGGGGATCGGCGGTCTCCACTGCCCCGAGGGGTCTTAGTGATTGACTTGCCCTCGGGGGGAGTTGGCTGAGTGGTTGGCTTGCCGATTCCTGTGGCACGTGCTGCATCAGCGGCACGGGTGGAGGCTTCTGCTCTCTCGGCAGCGGGGGAGCTTGGGAAGGAGTCTGTGCTGTCAGGGGTTTAGGTCCCATACCGTTCCCGAGAGTTGGAGGACTTAAGGGGCTAAGGGCCCTGACCAGGGAGGCACAAATGCGTGATTCCAGAGTGGCTGGGCAGCCTGAAGTGGGTCCCTTGCCCTTCTTGCCCAGTGCCAGGGAGCCGTGCTTTCTCATTTTTTTGGGCACTGGCGACAGGGGCGCACTGCGCACCGAGGCACCCAGTGAGTCCTGGTGGGGCAGCTTGGAAGCCAGACAAAGGGTGGGCTCCATGAGAAGCACCCATAAAATGAATGTCCTGCTCTGAGTCGGGGGCCGAAGGTTTTTACAAATACGGCATTTATCCCCCACGTGTGATTTCCCCAAGCACTTGAGGCAGCTGTGGGGGTTACTTACAGGCATAGGCCTGTTACAGTCTGCACAGGGCTTAAACCCGGGAGACCGGGGCATGCCCTGCCTGGAGCGAAGTCCCCACTGGGACTAACTACTATAAACAACTACTTACAAGGCCCTAAGGCTCAAAGTCAGTAAAGACAAAAAACCGTTAGCCCTTGCTATGCAAGGAAAGGCGCTCTGACTAACCACCATGGGTGGTAAGAAGGAACTGAGGGGGCGTAGGGCTGGCGGAGCCTGATATACCGGCGCATGAGCGCAGCACTCAAGGGGGCATCACTGCCCACCCTATGGATATCACTAAGGCAAAAATCTCCGATGACCACACCCGTGGGCATGCGCACACCTAGAATGGAATCAACATGAGCAAGCCCTCAAAACAACAACTTTACACTGAACAAAAAGTCTGTGTTTGCAGTCTCAATTTAAGACAACCTGCAGCATTGGGTGAAATGGGAAACAAATCTAAATGCGCAAATCAAAGGTTTGTTAGGAACACGAATACTTTCTGGTTTTCACAAGAGTAACCTACTCTGCCAGTCGACCCTTATGCGAATGGATTTAGTAGACGGGGGGATTTTTCTTGGTGTTTTCTAAACCACACAGGGGTTTCAATGCAACAATTCAACCATGTCACAGAGCTCATCTTGCACTGAGTGGTCTGTGGGTCACCAGCAATGAAACCGTTCCTAGGGATGCAAAGACATTTTGAGAAGCAAATCATGGGATGCTGTGAGCAGAGATGGGTCTAGAACAGATTAAACCGTCTTCTGCAAAAATACCTCCCACACCTCCAGCTAGAACATTCAGAGTGTCGCGACTGGTTCCTGGTTCAGGGCTTGTTTTGCAGTCACACATTCCATTCTTACATGATACAAGATACAATATATGTTCCCCCTGAAGAAAAGCTCTCCAGAGAGCAGCATTAAAGCTGCATCACTCTGTTTAAGAGAGACATTTCCAGACCACTTATTAGAAATCCTAGTTCAAATCATATTAAAGCTTTTCACAAGCAAAAGGGAAAAAAAGCAGGAAAATTCAAGTAAAAAAAATACAAAAACATCTTTTCGGTAACTGCCAGTTACCGAAAACGAGAGGACAAGTGTCAGAAAACTATTCACAACAAATGATTAGCAGTTATCCGGCATACAAGCCCACAGCTATCTAAAGACTGAGAAATCAAAACATTTCAGACTTGTTCTTAAGTGCAGAACCTCGGTAAAGTTTTTTCTCTTCACAAAAAAGGTTGATCAGAAACCTGGTAATAGGTTGTTCCACTGTAAGGTCAGGAGGTCATGCAGAAAGACATTTATGCACCTTGTCACAGTTCAGGGAAACTGCACCTGTATTTTGGGCTCTAGGCTCCCAGCCATCACCTGTCTTGCGTAGAGGTCCACATCTCTCCTCCACCTGACCAGGGTTTTTTCAGGCTTCAAAGTTCCCCTGCTTATACTGATATCCCCAGCAAGCCAGACTGCCTAAACAGGCCAACATCTGCACTTTGCCCTCTCTCTGAACGCTATGAACAGCTGGCATTGTCAGCCGTCACAAGTTACCAAACAGCTTTTTCTATGCAAGCACATTTATTCTTAAGGTAAAAAGCATTTCAGAGGAAAAAAAACCAAACAAAACCCTGCATGCATGCTAATAAGCTCACCAGAGATCACCCCGACACCAAAAAGGGCTCTGACAGGAGCCAGTCCTTCAAACCCCGCAGGTGGTTTACTGTAGTTACAAGTTCAGAACAGCCTTAGCTCAGAACCAGAACAGTCACGTCAAAATCTGAAAGAACAGCTCTCCTGGAGCGTTTTCTTCAGAAGAGCTACATTAAAGATGAACTTGTATTTGTATTGCAATAACAACTGGGAATTATGGCCCAGGACCCCATTGTGCTCAGCGCCGCAGATCAGGTCTTTTTGTAGAGAGAGAGAGAGAGAGAGAGAGAGAGTTCCACATGCTGTATGTGAGAACAGCACGTGCTGACTTGATGTTTACGGTTTGTTAAAAACAGAGCTGTAAATTTAACACTCCAATATCCTTTCCTCCTTCGATTACCTTAATCAGGGTTTTGTGCATCTCCTGCAACAGATGCTGGTCACAAAAAAATCCAGCTTCTTTCCCTACGTTCTCCACTTTGTTGTGTGTTTGCAGAGCTGGTGCTAGCCCATTGGGGGCCCTAAGCAGGAATATTTTAGGCTCCCCAATACTAAAACAGGCAAGTTCTTCTAAAAAGCAAATAGGGGGCCCCCTTGAGCTGCTCGGGGCACTCAGCAATTGCTTAAGTCTGCTGATGCCTAGCACCAGCACTGCACGATTTGATGTCACCTGGGAGCTATAGTGTAATTGACCTCGTCTATATTTGTGTATAAAACACGCCCTGCTCTACAAATGACGAACAATCAACAATTGCATGAAGAAGAGGCCCCTGGAAGGGAAAATGGAGGAATTTTCAACTTGATTATTTTTTTAAGAAGATGGATAACCTGGCAATACACTTGACACATTTTCCTAGGGTGAAATTCTCTCTCAGCCCACACGCCAGCATGAAGCCAGAGTTTGGGCTGTCTATCCTACAACCAGAGGCTGCTCAGACGGCTAAAAATCAAGTGACGCTGCCGCAGCATGGGCCTCAGCGCAGGCTGTACAAGCCCGCCCGTAACACTGGGTACATACTTACATTACTAGCCAGTGCCGGGGTCCTGTGCCACCACATCTTCATGGCTAGTTTTAGACTAAAACTGCTGCTCAGACATACCCAGGCCAACCACCCCTCTGATTGCCACGTAGACCGACTAAATGGACTCTGCTCATATTGCTCCCAACCTGCAGAGCAGGGTGTGACGCTGCAGCAGGACGACTCCTCGTGCGGATTGAATGGGCACCTCACACGTCCATCTGCGCTGGCTGCTAACGGGCTCACCTTCCCCAGCAAATATGGGGGGGTAGGGGGGGAACCTCTTCATCCCACAGAGAGTCATGGGGCTTCTGCGGTGTGGAGCGCCTCCCCCATGCAGGGAATCTCTCTCTCTCAGTGAGGCTCCTAAAATACTGACATCCACTTCTAACAGAAGGGTCTCCAGGCCCCATCAGTTCACTCCCGGCGAGCATGCTCACACAAGGCAACCGCGTTGTACATTTACCTTCCTGTTCAGCAGCCCCATGAGTTTAATCTGGCCCCACAAGCCAGGTTGAAGATGGGGAATTGTAACATTCTTCCAATGGATAAGACACGCGCCATCCATCAAAGTTTCAGTTTTAAGATGAAGAAACCCTGACTTCGACACCCTGACTTCGACCCCCTCACCTCCACCCGACATTACTGTTAAAGCTTCCAGTCCTAGCGTGGCAGGAGACAAGCTTCCAAAGATATCCCACAGATGAGAGTCCTTAGCAGGCATAGCCCTAAGGAGTCTATTGATACCATGGAATTCACTCATTCCACTTCCCCTGCCCTGGGGGGGCCAGGTTCTACACAGCACCTCTTGAGAGGCCTAGCTCAGAAGGCACAGCTTGACTTTATACCACCTCAGTGCAGCCCAGATTCTGGGCTGAAATGGCCACTGGCATAAGGGGTTATTCTAATTGATAGCTGCCTCTCCAAGGAGGTGGTGTAGCCCAGAACCCAGTGCTATGGGCACACCTCTACACTAGGGCCTAATGGGGCGGGGCACAGAGCTGCTTTCCTCAGTCTTCCGTGGCTCCACCAGCCCCTTAGCAGCATCTCTATGACTGCCAAACCAGTGTATAAAAACTGGGGCTAGGCCCTGCCACCCCTTCTTAACCTTACCGCTCTGTCTGGAACCGAATGTCTCAATACAAGTTCCTTGTGGGGGAGGGGTTAAAACGGCCAATCCTCAATGGATACACTCGTCCTCCCCCCAAAACTGCACAGAAACGTTCGAGTCATTAGAAGCAAAACAAAGTGCCCAGCTTTCTCATGGCAAATCCCAGTAACAAACAGCAGAGACCTGAACTCAAATGTTTATGTTTATATTTATTACAGCATGGAGGGGGAAAAAAGAACCGTTTCATTCAAAAACCATCCCATACCAATGAAGACAATAATTTAGCTATCCATTTTAAAATACATTAAAACCGGTCTGTCATTTCTCACTTCAAAAAACAAAACAAAAAACAAAACAAAAAAATGACCCATTCTGGAGACCACGGATGTTTCAGCAATACAACAAATCTTCATTTGATTTTTTTTATTTTTAAATATTAACCTGACTGTAACTATGAGACTGACACCCTTTTCCCACCCCCATCCCCACCCTCAACCCCACCCCCACCAACCTTCTACAGGTAAAGCACAATTAAAATGCCTAGGAAAAAGAAGGCAAACATTTAAAAAAATTCATATTACACACTAAAAAAAGTTTGTCATCTCATGTCTTGCAGTCAGAATAATAAAAACCAGCCAATGTTCCCAAAAAACATCTCAATGAAGGGGTGCGGAAAAAAAGACATCCCTTTAATAAAACATTTTCAACAAATATCATACACAAACTACAATGTATAATAATTACTTTTTTTCCCTCTCTTATTTTAGAACCAGACTACAAGGTAAGAAAAAACACTGAAACAAGATACAATGTTCTCAATAATCGGCACAAAGGGAAATCCAGGGAGATAATATTTTACATAATATGATATACATGGATCAGAAGTGGAGATTTATAAAACAAAGACCAACTACAGGGTAGTGTAATGTACATAGATCCCCAGACTCTGGCGAGTGTCACTTTAACATGGTTGGTTTGTTACTTTTCTGTAGTCACCTCTACCACAAGAAGAAAAGGTAATTTTTTCATTTTTGTTTTTATTTTTTGTTTGTTACAGAGTGAGCCTACAGAATAGCAAGTATACATTTGAACAATTACTTGAAAATATCTCCATCCAGTTCCAAAACACATACAGCGAAACCCTGATAAGATCACATCTTTTTAAAAAAAAAAAATACAAAACCAAAAATCAACAAAGATGTTAGCTTGAGATCACAGTTACAAAATCCCAGGTCAGATTAACCCTTTCTTTCTCTCTTTTTTTGGTGGGGGGGAAAAATAGCTCAAGGATTCTTGCATGGGGAAGTACTGAACTCTCCTTGTATTCTGAGAGGGGGAAAAAAAGACTAATACAGTGCATGCCACGGTCACAGATAATAAGATCACAATTAATTCTTGAGGATGTGATCCTATGAGGGGCCAACTGCATTAACAACTTTCTATGAGGTGGAGGAGTCTCTTCTGGAGGAGGAGGTGGAGGAGGAGTTGTGCTGCAAACAAGAAAAACAAAACAGGCCTTCCAAACAAAAACCACCAATTGTAAACTGTCCAGTTTATTTTAAAAAAATAGGACTACAACAGGGACAACATGAGATTTCATATCTAGACTAGCTTCCTGGTGTTGCACAGCACAAACATACAACAGGTTTAAAAGAACAAAGCAAAGAGGTTGGAGTTGGGTACTGGAGGCTTCCATTTGTTTCCAAAAAAAAAAAGAAAAAAAAAGAAAAAGTGTCATGTACATATATAAATCCTTCCGCACAAGAAGGATCTTGTCACGTCTTGAAATATTTTAAGTTTTGTCCTTCATGTTTTATGGAATAAAAAGTTCAGCCTTTTTATTGCATGAAACTAAAACTGGGGTTTGGCCCCCTCGCGTCTCTCTGCCAATACACCTAGCTTCTTCTTGCATAATTTCTTTTAGATCCTCCAAATGGCAGCTGACTCTCTTTGTCCTGGAGAGGAGGAAGGGGGAGGGAAATCACACACTCATCGTCATGCTGGGGGAATACTGAAAGAGAGACAAACACAGAATGAGTACTGGGCAAACAGGACTGAAATACTAAACGCGGCCAAGGCCAGGGAAGAGGGGATATGAAAGTAAGACTCGGGCTTATGAAAACTATAAAGCAACATAATTGGATATAATAAATCAGAAAGATAGAATATGCTAGAGACTCTTAATTTATCAGCACATAATCCGCTGCATAATGGTCTTTCCAGGGAGAAAATAAGCAAAACAGTATGGGGTAGGAAGCAATTTAAATGCATGCATGTATATAATGCTAAATATGGTGAGAAAAAAAGGGGGAGCCTCTTTCATCTGTAGAGCTTGAATCCAACGTGAAAATATACTCTGCAGATCTCAAAGATGAGCGCACGTTTCTTCGCAGCCGAAAACAAGCCTGGTTAGCTGGGTCTGCTCAGGGGCAGCTCGGAAACGGCAGGGGGTGTTGCAAGCCTGAGCAAAACTGCTCCCAAGCATCAATAGGGGGTCCCAAGATTAGCCCTGCAGCTTCCCTGCTGTTCCAGCCGGCAGCACAGCTGTATAAGGAGGTTTTCGCAGAGTGAAGATGTTTGTCTCTAGCTCACCGTGGTAGCTCACTTTCACCCGTCTATTTCACGCACATGATGGCTAGAAAGGGGGCCAGCAAGGTTTATTTACACCTTTATTAAAAATCCTACCAACTGGATGCAGAGCTGCGTTACACAACCACGTGACCCTACTGCTCTCACATTTTTTCTCCCCCCCTCAGCCTCATTTGTTACATGCTGTTGCCATCTTGGCTAGCCTGTATGCTTTTTGGTTCAATACCTTGTTCAGAAATAGATCTCAAAACACAGTGCAAATTGCAGGTAAGAGTGATCATCGCTACTTTTTGGTTTTCACTTGGATAGGGAGCTCCCAAAGCACAGCGCTTAAGCAACATTCCCAGGGTCAAACAGAAAGGCAGTGACAGAATCAGGATTAGGAACCAGGGCTTCTCAACTCCCAGCCCCCGTGCTGAGTCCCCTGGACCACAGCTAGATCTGTATTAAATGACAACATGCTCTCTCTACCATCATCAGAGATCACCCCTATCCCTCCAGACCCCGGGCCCCACCAGGAAGCAGAGACAGAGCCTTATAAATTTGGTGCCACCAAAAGAGAGGGGGCTTAGAGATTGGGTGTCTGAGCAACTCACATTGTCATTTTGGAAGGAATGGAGGAAGTTACCTCCCAGTTCACCATCATCTCTTGGAGTGCCCGGGGGGTTGCTAATGCCACTTATGTTGTTTGGAGAATTCTAAGGAGACAAACGAAGGAGAAGGTGAGTATGCCTCAAATACGTCACTGAGCACAGACTGGCAAAATCCCTCGCTAACGACTATGAGCGGCCGATGGGAGAGCAGGAGAGAACGGCCGCGTTTTATACAACCTTCCGTTAGTGCCGAAGCAAACGTCTCATGGGAAAGGGCTACAGGATGGGAGAAAGCCCCTTGTGTCCCTCTATTGCTCCCCCTACATTGGAGCCTCTCCAACCACACACACAATTTTCTCACTGCTGATGCTTCATGAAGGAGGGAAGGACTACGGTTGAAAGGAAAATGATTCACCGTTACGGTCACCACAGCGCACACTTACTTTTGGAAGTCCATCTATGTCGCCTGACCCTATCAAAAGAGGGGAAGAAAGGGAACTTTTATTTGCAAGTTAGTTACATTCCTTGCTCACAGTTGAGGTAGTTCTCCTGCTTGGCTAGCCCATTCAGTGCAGAAGCACGCTGGTGCTTAGAATGCCATCCAGAAACAGGAGGCTGTTGCTACATGCAGCTACTCCAGGGCATTGCTAGCAGCAGGCAATACAGGTCGCAGCTGTGCTAATCCCACACCTCTTAACATTTGCCTCTGGTAAAAAGGAACAGTGGGGGGCCTCAGCTGCCTTTCCTTTGTATGCTGAACTCCAGGGAGTTGAGGACAGCTCACCTGACTGCATAGCGCTGGGCACGCTTACTGCATGGCACTGTAATAATGGCAGGGTAGTTGTAGGGGCCTTGGCTCTCCCTGTGGTACTCGGACATTGATCAAGCTAGAGCATAGCTCCTATAGCAGGGCAACGTAGGAGACGGACTCGAGAGGTTAATGGGCCTTTCTACTGCTTTCAATTAAACACCAACACTGGTTTTGAGTTTAAGCTCCTCTTCTGACTGAATCTATCAATGCTGCTCCAGTGAGCCTGTGCCTAGTCTACATGCTATAACAGAAGAGTATCCAGCCAGGTGGGCGGACAGGCGGCCTGGCAGGTAGGTCATGGCAAAAGAGGGCTGTGTGGGGCCAGAGGAAATAGGGTGATTCTCAGACCTCTGAAAGCTCACAGTGCACACGTGCCTCCAAAACTCACTGACTGGTTTGTCAGGAGCAAGACAGGAAAAGCCACCAGACAATAACATCGCCCTTACAAAGCAACAGAGGGTCCTGTGGCACCTTTAAGACTAACAGAAGTATTGGGAGCATAAGCTTTTGTGGGTAAGAAGCTCACTTCTTCTGAAGAAGTGAGGTTCTTACCCACGAAAGCTTATGCTTCCAATACTTCTGTTAGTCTTAAAGGTGCCACAGGACCCTCTGTTGCTTTTTACAGATTCAGACTAACACGGCTACCCCACTGATACTATCTCCCTTACAGAGATTTAATCCTGAATGGCAGATCAGCATTAACAGCTTGTTAAGGGTCTGGTCTAGTGCGCTTCCCGCTCAGCCGGCCTTGAGCTTACCTAACGATCCATTCATGTGATGTGGTTCCATACCTCCCATGCCTCCCATTGGGCCGTCAGAACCGGGCCCCATTGGGAACTGAGAAAGAAAACAGCAGAAAGTGTAACCCCAAAATCAGAGACCTGTACTCCTATCAGCATCAAGCAGATCAGCACATCCACTGGTAAGGATGGCCTCAAAACAGCACAGAATGTTCTACGATCCAAGTTTTGTCCAGATACGGAAAGGTGACCTGACTCCCGTTGGGTTGGGAAGCAATATCCCTTGAAAACTTAACTGCCTCAGGAAAGTTACAGCAAACGTTTTGTTCGGTCACTAAGGCTGCATCTACACTACAGAGCCCACATCAGCACAGCTATGCCTACACAGAGTATGTGGAGAGAAGGCGTTTTTCCAACAGGGTAGGAACACCATGTCCACAGATGAAGCACAGGGTAGGAACACCATGTCCACAGATGAAGCACTCTTCTGTCGGCACCACTGAATCTACCTGGGGGTTTTGTTGGCATAGCTACATCATTGGGGGTGCAGGCTGTAATACTTTGGTCCAGAACTGGCTGTTGGATTTAGTGTGTGGTTGGTGGTGTGGCCTGCGACATACAGGAGGTCACAGACACTTTGGGGGTCCCCTCTGGTCTTCGATTCAATTACTCCCGACTCTATAGCTACACAGAATAGCAGGGCTCTGGTTTCACCCTCTGCAACCTCCGTTATGAACAGTGTTTACAGAGGAACTAATTCCCTCCTTTAGTTCTATCGACACGCGCAGTGTACAGGGCCCCCCATTACCCTGGAAATAACTCATTGTGGCAGGCTGATGGGGCTGAATCACAGGGCTATCAAGTCAGCCAAGACACCCAGCGAGGGGAGCGGGTAACATGACGGGTGTCAGGCACATTGGCGAGGACTTCCGTTCTCCCAGCTGGTTTAATACTCCAAGGTGCTAGGCGGGGGGCAAGGGTTCAAACTCCCTCTTACAGAAACACAGTCACAAAAACACACGGCAGTGAGACCTGTGCTCAGACACATGCGTGAGGTCACCTTTTGGCCCCTCCTGCCCCAGCATCAGCAGACACTTTGCCCCAATAAGAACGGCATGGAGGGTGGGGACATGCACGCATGTGTGGGGTGACCCCCAGCTGCCTTGTTAGCAGCACTCCGTGCTCTCTCAGCTGACAGACACACACAATGGTTCTGCAGCTACTTTGCCCAAATAGTTACACTTCCTTGAAACCAGGAAGTGATGTCTAAAGGGCACATTCTCCTCACCAGCATATCCCCAAGTGAACCAGCCACTATAACCCAACGCGGGTGTCAACATGCTGCGCCCTACAAAGATTGGCTCCTCCCTTTCGCTCGTGACATCCTTCTCTGGCCACGAGGGGGTGTTCCAAGATCATGCCATGGCAAAACCACCTCCAGTCTGAAGAGTGCACAACCTGATCTACCATTGCAAATCCAGGCCAAAGATCTCCCGCCCCACCCACCCAGCAGCACATTTCAATGGCCGGCTGAGGGAGCTAGCCATATTTCCTTACGCCACCTCCCATCTTCCCCCAGTGCTGCTCCAACCACATTCCCAGGGATCAGTGAGGCTTCAACATGATCGCCTAGATCCACCCGAACCCCCTGTGCTGTGACCATCATCCATCTGTCTGCAGGGGGAACGGATGGGCCTCCCTTTGGGGCCTACCCATGCAGCTCCTCAAATCAGCCAATAGCGTTTGCTCTTGAGCAGTCTGAAGCCCAGGCGTCAAGTGCCTCGCGTCTGCCAGGCTCCTGACCCACGAGAACAGGAGAGGGAATCTAACCATGCTCTGCCATTTTCCTGGTGAATAAAACCATTGAAGCTAGCTAGCAGCCTGTGCACCCCATACCGAGCTGAAGAGCACTCCAGGCATCAGGCAAACTGGCAGCTTCTGCTCAGACAAGGCCTAGAGACCTAGAGTACCAGGCCTGCTAAGGGGCCGGATGGAGGAGCACTCTCCTCACTGCTGAGCAGCTCCTCCAAGCCAATGCCGTCAGCTCCTCCCTTACCAAGCACGGAACCAAAACAGACTTCAGGTGGAACCATCACGCTCTGACACCGCCCCCCCCAACCTTCTGGCATGACCATTTCGTTTTCTAAGTGGATGGGTGTGATGTCTTCCCACCCCCACATCATTCCTCCTCAGCACACAGACAGGAGTGATGGACCCTCACAGCTGATCCAGCCAACGCAGCCACTTATGGGGCCACGCTCCCAGGCTCCACACTGAACAGGGGCAGGCAGATTCAATAACGCGTCAGCTCCTTGGAGCTGGGCCCACCCTCGTTGGGAGACTGCAGAGCACTGAGCGGGCACTACTGTAAAGAAGCGGGGGTAGATTTTCGTTCATCATCACCACCGCCCTCATTTTGTTTCCCTGTCCCTAGATCTGCAAAGATCACATTACTGGAAATGGCCAAGGGAGTTCCCACTCAAATCACTTTACCTACGTAAGCTGAAGATAAAACCAGCAAACATCTCTATAAACAGATACGCAGCCAACGTGGGCACAACTGCTCCCCTCACCTCCCCCATCAAAAATGGGTTTGACATCTTACTGTTTTACGTGCCGAGCTGCAGCAGTTATAACGCCCCTTAAGGTACATCTATGCAGCGAACACCCACGGCTGGCCCAGGTCAGCTGTCTCAGGCTCACAGAGCTGTAAAATTGCTGTGTAGATGTTCAGGCCTGGGCTGAAGGCCGAGCTCTCGGACCCTGCAAAGGGGGTCCCAGAGCCCAAACACAACCCTTTTTAGCCCCGCAGCCCAAGCCCTGGGAGCCCAAGTCAGCTGACCCCGGCCCCGCCACGGTTGTGCCACAGGTCTTTTATTCCAGGGTAGACATACTCCAAAAAAAGTCAATCTGGTCTGATCTTTTTCACCTGCAACACCCATCAATGTCACAATGAAGATGGTCCTCTTCCCCCCCGCCCCCACCCCCCACCTTATCCAGTTCATTGATTTGGGCTGAGATTGTCAGAGAAGCCCAAATCCCACTGAAATTCAATTCATCCTTTGAAAATCCCTAGCTTTGGGTCTAGTCAGTTTCGCTGTTCTCCCCTGAAGAGTCAGCTTCCCCTGTGGTGCAGGCTTTTGTTATTATATATCCCTCCCATGAGGGAGAGAGAAAAAAAATCTCACACGTGATCACAAAAAAACCCACCCACGCTGGCGGGGGAATCTCAGAAACAGGCAGTGCTTGGAACCAATAGTTTATAAGTTGACTGTATCCCTTTAAATGTGACTGCTAACTGGATGCGTTGCTGACATGATCTTGACCAGAGCAGCATGAACGGCACCATTTTAATAAGCATAAAAAATTAACAAAGTTGCTGAAGAGTTAATCGCTTTTTGATGGTTTGTTTTATTTCTATTTTGTAACCAATGGCTGAAATCAATTAAACTGCTCTACCCTCAACTGATGAAGTTAATTATGATTTGTTATGGTATCTGATATGTAAATTATTAGAAAGCAGAGACTTACATTCGATCGACTGCCTCCAGGCGGTACTGGATTAATCATTGTGTAGATGTTGTCACTTGAATTGGTTGAATCTGTAGAACAGTGAAGCCCAGTAAGTCAGAGTGATTAATTCATTTCTTAATTAAAACAAACTAATGCCACTTGAACTCATTCTTTTGTATTTTATCACCTAAAATTCCCTTTAAGTACCACCATTTTCTGGCTAATTTGTATTTAATGAAGATTCACAAAGTTTTTAATCACAGAAATTCAACTGTGAAAATAATTCAACTACTGAGAATCACAGGGCCTGCTCGTCAGAAGAGGCGTAGAACGATAATTTGCTTCGATGTATCACTTAACACCTCAAAATTACCCAAACATCCTCCAACATTATTACAATACTGGTATTAAAAACAAATCACCGAACCCGTATGGAAAAGGAACCCGTCTCTTTATAATGCACATGGTAACAGACAAACCATTTGAATCACGTCACAATATATAAATGTACAAATGACAAGTGTGCTGCCACGACAGAATACTGGGACAGTGACTAGCAGCACCCATTAACATATGGATTGTTTTATTATGACCTAGTCTGAAATGTAGGTCAGAGTTCTCATAAAAATGCAGAAGCAGAAAGACAGTCGTAATATTACATTTTAGCTCCACCCCTGCAGCTGTGAAACACCACAGTTACAGAGCAAGGCTACTTCCCTTGAGCCCACCCACCCGCCATCCCCTCCTATTGATCACTACAACAATTACAAAATCAGCCTTGCAAAACTGCCAGAGAAATTTACCAGCCCAGAGGCAGAATCTACATGCCCACTTTTATGTGGGGAAGGAGGTGAAAATCATTGTGGGAGATTTTACTGACCCATCCAAAAAGAATTTGAAATTTGGGGGCGAGGGAATTAGCCTACCGTGGCAAGCAGAATTTTGCAAACGCGGTTTTCAAAAGCCCCTGCAAGTCTTCATAAATCTGACCACCACAAGGGCAGCGTCCACAGCCTGACTTGGTCTTTTTAAAGGAGGAGGCATCAGAGTTAAAAATTGGGCGGGGGAGAGGGGGGAAAAAGGGCAGCACACAGGAAACCTTTCCAGTAAAAGGATTGGATTTTTTTTGTAGCTAATACAATTTTAAACCTTGACTGGATTATTATTATTATTTTAAAAAGAGCAAGCAGTGGCTGATTAGTCAGCCCCTAAACAGTACAAAACGACTCCCTTGCTTTTTGTTTGCTAACCAGCATGAAAGGAATAACAAATAAATATATTCAATTTTTTATAAGGACATTTTGTCAAAGCACAAGCAGTGTTTTGCACATTTCTAGTTTACATGCCTCACAAGGCTGGTTCACTTTAGTAACACGGGGATTAAACGTGAAGTGACTACTGCTTCTCAGGGAAACAAATCTGGACACGGAGAAGGGCTGGCTCCTTCCCTCTTCCCCACTTCATATGTACTCACACGTGCTCTCAGAGTTCCCCCACCCCACCCCCCAATTTTCACCCTCTTGAAACTCAAACCTAGGAGGAGAAGTGAATACAAAGCCCCATCCTAACAAACACCAAAATCTTCTTTCACTACTACTGCATACGATCAGGAATCCAATGGAGCAGCAGTTGAGCGTGAACTGAGGAGTTAGGGGGCTATCATTCAAAAAAACACCCAGCAAATCTGGGTTTTTTAAGTGCTGAATTCGTCGGCTGTTGAATTTTACCTGCAGGACTAGGCATGATCGGTGTTCCTGGAGGACCACCACCACCAGGGGGCCCCTGTAGACAAGATTAAACACACATCAGAAACCACTGTGATAACATATACTGCACTAGGTCAGCAAGATCCTGCTGCTGTCAGCAACAATGTCTCACCTTGGTATTCAGCCAAGCATTAATCTCCTGCTAAAACCTTTGATGCACTCTCGTAGCCAAAGTACAATGCTTTGTTTAAGCCTCGAGCAAAATCAGATTTTTTTTTTTTTATAAGTATTTGAGAGGTGTATGTGGGAGAGAGCGGAAATCATTTGCAGTGTCCACGGGACCCTGTTCTAAAACATTTTTTACATTTACACACGAGGGAGGCTGTTCTGGGTACCCAGAAGACACGCAGATTTCTAGAAACAAACATTCTTACATTTTAGAATTTCTGCCTCTGCCCAGACTTTTGTACCAACTCAGGATAGAGGGACATGGCTACACTACATACATCTAACTCACACCGAGAATCTATTTAAAAGTCCAAATAAGTTATATCTACATACACACGTGTGTACAAAGAGTCAATGATCTGTAATGTATATACTTGAAATCTGACTATACATCTGGCTAGAAATAAGAACCCAGCACAGCAACTTACCACGTATGTACCAGGCGATGAAGAGGAATATGGAATCTATAAACAGATCATAGGAGATAGTTACCTGTCTGAAATGCAGCATTTCATCAATAATATCCCGATTTACATATTTAACTCTGGTGCCCACATTCCGCTTTGTCAAACGGAAGCGGAAATTAGGTTGAATTACAGTAGTGGCCACTGACGTGTTATAAATGCCCACAATGCACTGAATATGCTGGCACACAATATTTCACTTACCCCCAAACCCTACTATTGGCAGGATACAAAAAGGCAAGAAAAATTAATGGTTCAAGAGCAAGGTTGTGGGTGTTCTGCACTACATCAGCCATCTGTGGTCACCGAATGACCAGGTGGCTGCTGAAAGATCCTGTCTCCATCCTTCCCCCTATATTTTTTTTGGGTGCACAGAGTGCTGCAAAGTATCATATCTTTACCCTGAATTACAAAGAAAATGGACAGAAAACTGGCTAAGGAACAGATCAGAACAAAAACACAACCTTAATTTTTAGATACACCAACGCAGTAACCAAATTAACGGAATGCTGTGCAACATAAAAATCTTCTCTAGTTAGCTGGATGCTTGCACACCTACACTGGGAAGCGCTCTATGGTATGGAGGATGGTGAATGTTTGCCCGGGAGTTTGCCCACATTTAAATGGGTATAACACTACCCTCCTGTCCTGATACTCAGGCACATCCACGTAATACCTGTAGACTGGCTGTCTCTAAAGACGAGGGTTTAGTCGGAAGTTGTAACAAAAGACACAAGAAGGCAGTCACACTTGAAGAGATGCTCATGTACAAATTTTTGCTCTAGTCTAATACCGATAAAAAAAGACTTACTGAATTAGCACTGCTGGGATTAGGCCATGGTCTACCAGCTCCTGGGCCCCTAGAGTTCAAATGAAAAAGAAAAGCTTTTTATACAGGGCACATTGGGATACAGCACAACAGCAATGTAAAACTGGGATTCCAAAGTCATTTCAAAGCAAAGGTCAAAGCCGCTGTCAAAGCATCATGGGTTTTGCCTTACATGTTAATTCCAGGCATGCCGGGGCCTAAAGAGTTGGGTGGAGGTCTCATTCCGCCGCCATAGTTCTGCAATGATAACCAAGGATCAGTCTACCATAACGAGAAGGGAAACCGGAGAAGAAAAGAGAAGGGAAAAAAACAAACAAACAAAAACAAGAGGGTTAGTGTGTGAAAATGAACTTTAATAAAAAATTAGATGATGATGAACATACAAGCAATTAAAAACTTTAAAATAAACAGGACTGTGGTATCTTTCCATTGACTCTCTGCAAGACCTCATGGGCTGTTAAAAGATTTATACAGAAGCCAGACAGATTTTGCATTATGGCTTCCCTACTGCAGACCAGAGCACAGCACTGGGTTATTCTAGGCCCGGACCTGGCCTCTGGGAGTGGCCCACTTCAGAGGAAAGAGAATGTCCCAGCCAACTGTGCAATACAATTATTATGGAGGGAGGGAAATTCCCTCCCAACTCCAGCAGGCAAATCAGTTTCTGGCTTGTGGTCTCTTTTGTTTAGGGGTGGAAGGACAGAGAAAAAGAAAGTAGCTGCTTGAAAGATTATTGCTACAGTGTAATGAGCAAGCAATGGGATGCATGGAAGAGATGCAAACAGCATGAACGTTTGCAGTAGCCTTCTAAAGACGGGAAAGGAACCTGTCCTCCTAGGGTTACATCTCCAGTTTAAAGACAACAAAAAAAGATTGGTCTTAAAGTCACTACAGAACAATGTGCATTTCAGACATGTGCACACAGGCACACACAAACATATGTACAGAGAGATTCATGGCCCACAGTGTTGCAAGGGAAGGGACTTCGATTTTGCTACAGAACTATTCAGATTGACCTCTTCATAGTCAAATCTGACGCTGCGTCAGCACGTAAAACCCAAACACATGTACACGGGGTGGGGTGGAAAGTGACATGCAACACAGAAATGCTGTAAACACGTCAGGCATTACACAAAACTCCCCAACTCAGGCACCTGCTCTCCCTTCTTATGTCACCCCCTGGCTTTGCCAATTGCAGGAGTCTCCGATCAGTGTACCTGATCTAATAAGAACATATCTACTGTAATGCCAAGCCCGAGGATGCTGCTGTGGCTCCAGAAGTCCTCATGCTGAATTTCTCTGCCTCTCTCCAAGTCAGTTGCCCATCACCAACGTATCTGGGCACACCTTTCGCAGTGTACATCAGCCTTGCTAAATTCTTCTTGTCCACTCATTCAAGGTAAAATAGCATTAGTTTCTTCTGTGCCTGGACCAATTTATTTCCTCAGCAGTTTTGCAAGGCTGGTTTATGTAGGAAGCCACCACTCCCACACACGGAGCTAAGCACCCAACCCAGCAAACCATGACTGTAAAAGGGATAAAGAGAAGGATATTGACAGCCAGCGACTGGGGGAAAACGGTGCAGTCGCTTGATGAAGCGCCTGATCAAAAGGGTTCTCCCTCGGACTTGCTTTGTGCTCCCTGTATTTGCAAATATGGCAGCGCAAGTAGTTTAGACCAACCATTTCAAAAAGTGTGTGTGTGTGTGTGTGTGTCCGTCCATTCAAGGAGAGGAACAAAACCTGTGTGGCTCCCAAGAGAAGGAAGGCTCTCCCGTTTCACAGACACACTGACTCCCATTTTCCCCCTGCAAACTTTTACTCACTCGACAGGTTCCCCCATCTCCTTGAGAGCCCCTAGAGAACTCCCCCTCCCCCCCCCCACACACACTTTAACTTGACTATGCGTATTTCTGAGGCCCTGTATCCGGACAGCTATCCCTCTGGGACCGGAATGGGACAATTTCTATTTGTTCTCAAAGAGCTCCTAAGATACACTTACGCCGCACACGCCTTTTGGCAGCACAAACATGGCTAGTTCCCCTAGCATGGGTATAACGGCAATGGAGACCATAAGATGCTGCTTAGGCAAATAGAGTAAAACACACTCCTGAACCCTTTGGGTACGTAATCTACTCCCCAAGCCACGTGTCCCACTGCTGAAGTCTTTCCCCAAAGCAGGGAAAAGACCCAAAGGCTCTAGCAGCTCTCCTGTCAGTGAAAGACTAGCAGGGGGACAAAGGGAGAAGGCTCTGGCAGCTTCCTGCTGCCTCTCCCTGCCAGAGACTTTCACCAACACTTATAGCTACGCATGGCCATGTGGACACAGCCTGCCTTTCGCAGTGGCATGTAGCAAGAGGTATGCAGGGTAGATGGAGTCAGCTGTTAAGAGGCTCTCTTCTCGCTGCAAATGAGGGGATAAATGGTGTCTCCAGCAAACTCTTTGTTCGTCCCTAGGATTGGAGCTGTACCTAGTACTTGGCAGTGTAGTACTCCACCAATATTTTTGATTTGCCCCAAGACATATCCAATTAATTTGGGGTTGGCTTATTTAGGAAATCTGGTTTAAATCACAAGACTGAGCATTTTGGGGTTTGGTTTTTTCGGTTCCCCTGCCATCATACCTTTATTTGTAACTCAAAGCGCAACAGGTAGGTCAACAGAATGGTGTTGTAGGAGTACAAATATTTCATTATGGTCCCAATTCAGCAAAGCATTTAAGCATTTCCTTAACTTTAAGCATGTGCTGAAGTCCCATTGAACGCTTTGGATTTAAGCCCATGTTGACGTGCTTTGCTGAATTAGGGTCCATTACCTTATCTACATGTGTACTTTGAGGAGGATGAAAAGGGTTACCCGAAGAAATCACTAGCAAATCTTAATTGATCCAAATCTCAGTTTCCTAAGCTGAACTACATAAAACCCCATGTTAAAACTTAGTACTTCTAATTGGAGCTGAAAGAAACAGACAAACAGGCCAAAGCATTTTAAAGGTGTTAGAAAAAGGGGAAAAGGTGCCCTTGTGCTGAGAAGCTGGGTGTCAACCTTCAGCAAAATGTGAATTAAAATGGGGAAGTTACAAACCCTTGGAAGACCATATTTAATAGAAGCACTGACGCATCTAACCTCAGCAGCACCAACAAATGCCTTTATACTGTTCACAGAATTAACGCTATGATCAAAAAAAGGAGATAGGAAGTCAGAGTTTAAACCATGATGCTAGATTGTAAAAGATGACTGGTTTTCAGTTCATGTCAGGTGGCTGGTACATGACTGCAGGTTACCATTGGTTGGATAAAAATGTATTTTATACGAATGTTTATTTTAGAAGGTCTTGAAAAAACCCTTTGGGAAGGTAGTGGGTGGGTAGTGTGTACACAATGATTTATTACACACAACAAAAATGGTGACACGTTCAATATTTTTGATTATTTCTTGTATGCACTAAAGTTCCAGAGCACCTGCTTCTTTAGTGTTTTGGGAAGACTCAAAAACATGCCAACCGGTTGATGAGATTGCACGTCCCATTTTCACAGGCTTGCACTTGTTTAAAGGAAAATTAAACAAGGCGCTCTCTCTAACGTCTAATAGTCCCAGCATAAGAGAGAAAGCCCTAAAACTCCACAACTTTCAATACCACCCGTGACCGACAAAAACCTACACGGTGCGCGATTAAAACGCAACCACTTTCAAGTTCTACGGCAATCACCTTGGATTGTCCAAACTGCACAGAGCATCCAGAACTTTCATGGCACTTTTTGCTTGGCTGATGCAAGCGCAACAGATGCAGGCTTTTGTAATCATACATGTGGGACTATTAAGAGCTTTGTTGTACCAGTTCCTGACAGTGCCAGACCATTAAAATGTATAACAAAGCAATTGGAATCTAAGCTCGCCCGCAAAGAATGCTTGGGATTTTTTCCCCGAGGTGTGGGGAATCTAGTGGCGTTTCACACCATGCCCAAGGAGATGGATATACATTTTTATTCAATCAACTTTTCTCCCTTCTTGTCAGTATTCAACAGTTTTGCATACGTTAAATCATTTCTTAACTCTCTTCACACAAGACCTCTTTAGCCCAAGAGCCTCCTGGAAAAACTGTGCAACACACATTCATTTACTGCAGGGTTAAACAGCACTGAAGACAACACAGGAAACAAGTAGTCAGGGAGGATAAACCTACATCTGAGATATGGTAGTATATTGTTTCAAGTCTATCACCACGAACAAACAGGAGTGAGTCAACATAGTAGCATGCAAATTCACTTGTTAAAATGAATCAACACAAAGACAGAATATATTAACCCAGATCTACTTCATTTAAAATGTATTCATAATTGGACTGGTTCCCCCACTCCCTGGGACATATACAACCAAACAGGGATTTGGCATCATTCAGGAACTACAGAAGATTTTGTTGTTCATCGAGCTACTACTCATGCTAGTGAAAATTCAGAGGAGAAGGCTACTCTGCTAACTTTAAAAAAAAAATCTGAGCATTCTTGAGTAACGCCAATGTTTAGCTCTTACTATAAAGGAATCTAACAAGTTGGCTGAAATGCCTGGACAAGAGCTTCTGAAATACACTTGGAAAAAAGTTACGGGGGGGGGGAAAAAGTCAAAATCTTTCCGAAGCTCATGAGAAGATCACTCAGCATATCCCACTTTGGGGAGAAAACAATCCCTAAAACTCATCAGCAAATTTTCCCCTCATTGAAAATCCCCAACCTGAAGTTTAAGGTAAAATTGAGAGAGGGGAAAGAGGCAAGCATCAGATTGATCCAGGAAACAAAGAATGGCTTAAACGCCAGAGAAGTGAAATAGTCTATAGAATAGGATAGGGAAGCGTTATGTCCCCGTGATAAATAACTTACTTTTTTATGTGGGCACTCCCTTTCTTAAGTGTTATCAAGGCAAGCTGGATAATGCATTCACCATCACTACATGGTCACAGCTAAACAGCACTGCCTCCGACTAATGAGCAAAAGGGGCTTCTGCGATATCCCTAATGAGGATGCTGAACTCTGTCGGAACACCGGCTTTCCAGCGGCAACGCACTAATGTAAAATGCATTAGTGCTAATGGGGAGTAGGTGGGAAGAACGCCCAGCTCTTGAAACCCCTAGAGATTGTTTGGATGATGTTTTGCTTATAAACTTTATGAAGTCGTAAGATGTTATTTGGCACGGGACAGGAGAGAAAATGTGCTGCTTAAGTTTACCTGCGGACCAGGACCCATGGGGCCCATCCCTCGTGGAGGATTCATCCTTTGCATTGGTCCTCCCATGTTAGGGTGCCCTGTTGGGAGTAGAACCAATGAAGTCATTATAGCAGAGTAAAAGTGTTTGGCCCAAAGCCAACAGTGAGACACCTTCCAGCATCCTTGAGCATGTTTACCTTGTTGTCGTGTAGGGTCCATTGAATTGGGCAGCAGTGGCTGCGTACCAGGAACAGCCCCTGGAGGCTAGAAAAATTGGGGGGGAAAAGGGGGAAGAAAAATAAGCTTTGTATGTATGTATGTAACCAAAATATTTAGTTTAAATTCAAGGCTTTAAACACAAAGAATTCAGGTGACATGGTCTATTTTCTGGGAAACGAGGGACTTGTCACAACTTCCTCTGCTTACACACAGCTCCGACCTGTATATCTCCCATGACATGTTCTATAAATCCCTGAAATTTGCCTAACTTCGCTTTCATAACCCTCCTACTTTGTTTCACAGCCTTTTAAAAAGACCAAACCCCAATTCTCTTCTAATCCTTCACACTACTGTCCTAATGGTCCGATTCCAAGCTTCTACTTGTAAGTAAAAAGGAGGGGACCCACACGGCTGTCGGGGTGAGCGAATGTCTGATCAAAGCACTTCAATGAAATGATACTGATGCCAATGTAATTTCGAGGTATACACTTGGCAAATATGCTATGTAAATATATTAAAGTTATTTATTTGCCAGTGAAGAGACATTTCATCTGCAAAGAGGATTTTAAACATTCTTACTGAATAGCTTACAAAGATGGCCTCAGGAGTATTAAAAAGGTATATTTTTCTCTTATTTCCTAGTATCCCGAACACTGTATTTCTTTTTTCAAAGTCATTCTCCGCTTGGACAACAAATCTATTTAAAGTTCAAAAGAGGACTTCCATGTACAGCTCAGTGCAGATAAAGGGGGAGAAAACACAGATACCATATGCCTTGGGGAAGCAAACTGTAAACAATTTTGAAACACGGTTGCTTTTCTTTTATTTGAATACCAACATGAAATAGATCGTGCTGTAAAAATTTAGAGACTCTCCAATAAGGAAGGATGACAGTTTAGGCAGGCCAGGCCACACATCAATGCCATGAGTAGAGGGAAGGTTTTCGTTCCAAATCTTTATAGATTTACAGCTTGGGAGACAGAAGTAGGAAAATAATAAATGAACTTTTCATATATGGTTCCCATTGCTATTAACTTGTTTCTCACCTAAACAAGAAATGAGGCAGTAATGATTATTTGGTCCTGTTGTCATGTTTTTGCGTCTCTGGATCTACCCAGTAACCTAGCTAAGCTATGTGAGTATTTCTCAATGCAGCGGGTTTTTTGTTTTTTTAAGAGTCTGATTAGTTTTATCCTCCTCGTTAACTTGATAATTTAAGTGTATAAAAACAAAATCACAGAACACCGAGATTCTGAAGTTGCAACGTTACAAATAATATCCCTCAATGCCTGGTCACAAACATTTCCGGTACGTCATTGCAACTTGAGACTGAAAGGAACCACGGCTCCACCTGGACACTATTAGACCAATCAAAATAGTGTTCTGCAACATGAAATGTGCACAAGACTAATCCATAGCACTTACAGATACGGATAGCACATCCTTGTGCTGTCCATATTTCAGCAGCAAGAGCTTGGACTTCTTGCAAGCCTGATTTAAAGGGACATTGTAAAACTGCACTTGACAAAAAAAAAAAGTGACTTTCTGTATTTCACCAGGCCTGGACAGCACAGATTGACTTGTCTGTTTTAACTTCTGCTCCTAATCAGTTTCACTTTCCTGTTCTCCGGCACTTGCCGGAAGCTAGAACCTCTAGCCAAGGAAAATGAGAACACGCCTGTGCACTCTTATGTATGAGCCTGAGAGACAATTGTAGCGTAGTCATTCTCAACTGGTGGGACATCACCAATAGTCTAAACAGGGTGTCAAGCAGCTGATCTCATCCTCAGGTCTTCCATCTTTAGGTGAAACGGATCTGCCTAGCCACTTGACTCCACTCCTCTTCCCTGAACCTACTGTGCTAGGCACCAGAGAATATGTGATTACGGTCCTAACCAGGCTGAGGTCCTCCATTGTAAAGCACTCCAAAACAAGTTACACAGAACTGCCTAATCAGTGTCATTTTCCATGTGCAGGTTTCTCATTACAAGGCTGTGAGATTTCACCAGCACCAATGAGGAAGGGAATTCAGAGAAGGTGGAGGAGTTGCATAAAGCCGTTGGACATACCTTCCTCAAATCCTCCCCATTCGCTCCCTAAAACCCCTGCAGAAACACTATCCACTCTCAATCTTTTTTTTTAAGGAGATAACAGGACAGGCTTATTTTTATTCTTAACAATTCCCCACAGCACAGGGAAAGGCTGGAGTTAAGAGTTTATACTGGTTTCAATGCATTATAAGAAGTTTCATCTTATTTAGTACTTGGTAAGATAGTCTGTTTATCTCTACCAATCCAACACTTTGGGTAGCAAATCTGTCTCTTGTAACTGACTCAAACTGATAAGCTTGTTGGCTGTAAGACAGATTTCTCTTTTGCAAGTTTTTCTTACAATCAGACAGCTAAACAGAGATACAGGGGAAAAATGGATGCCTAAATTTGTCTAACAGAAAGAATGCGTATGCACTATTTGTGAGTGAGTTCTGATGACCGAAAGTGACAAGAGCCACTTACTACTGGCAGGGGGAAAAGTCATAGAAAAGTATTAAAAATTAAATGGAGTCTTCTAAATCATATTCATAAAACAGTGTCTTGTTTAACAGACAGCGTAATGCGCTAACAAGAGTTACAAGGCTTATTTTAAAATGTCTGCCTTTGTTAACAGTAAAGCAACATGTTATTGGAATAGAAACTAAGCATGTAACTTTCTGAAGTACTTTGTGCTACACCTTCTGCTAAAAAGAAACTGAAGGAAAGTAATTGGTGAAATTCTTAGAATATGCTTCAACAGGATAAATTACGACTAAATGCCACAATCTTAAAACTTCTGCACATAGAATCAGACTTTAAGGTCAGAAGGGACCATTATGATAGTCTAGTCTGACCTCCTGTACAACGCAGGCCACAGAATCTCACCCACCCACTCCTGTATCAAACCCCAAACCTACATCTGAGCTACTGAAGTCCTCAAATCGTGGTTTAAAGAATTCAAGGCTGGAGGATTCTCTGCACAAGTGACCCGTGCCCCACGCTGCAGAGGAAGGTGAAACAACTCCCAAGGCCTCTGCCAATCTGCCCTGGAGGAAAATTCCTTCCCGACCCCAAATATGGCAATCAGCTGAACCCTGAGCATGTGGGCAAGACTCACCAGCCAGCCACCCAGGAACAAATCTATAGTAACTCAGATCCCACCCCATCTACCATTCCATCACAGGCCATTGAGCATATTTACCGCTAATAGTCAAAGATCAATTAATTGCCAAAATTAGGCTATCCCATCATACCATCCCCTCCATAAACTTATCAAGCTCAGGCCTTGGCTACACTGGTGCTGTACAGCGCTGCAACTTGCTGTGCTCAGGGGTGTGAAAACGCACACCCCCCCCCCCACGTGCAGCGAGTGCAGCGCTGTAAAGCGCCAGTGTAATCAGCGCTGCACGCTCGCTCGCAGCACTGCAAGCTATTCCCCTCAGCGAGGCGGAGCTCTCACAGCGCTGGCGGCGCGACTACACTCGTGCTTCACAGTGCTGCTGCGGCAGCCCTGTTAATCCCTGCGTGTAGCCAAGGCCTCAGTCTTGAAGCCAGATAGGTCTTTTGAACCCACTGCTCCCCTTGGAAGGCTATTCCAGAACTTTACTCCTCTGATGGTTAGAAACCTTCATCTAATTTCAAGTCTAAACTTCCTGATGGCCAGTTTATATCCATTTGTTCTTGTGTCCACATTGGTACTGAGCTTAAATAATTAATTCCTCTTCCCTCCCTGGTATAACTATATGAACAAACCCCCATTTTCTTTTAAGCTGCCATAAGGCAGAGGATAAACACAACTAAAATTTAACCCTGCAGCTGATCTAAGTGTTCTGGTGCCACAAGTTCTCCTGTTCTTTCTAAGTGTTCTGGTGGACCAGTTCTCTAACAGCAGGATTATATGCATCACCTTGATTTTTAAAGATTCCAGGGAAAATCTACATTTTACGCTAGCTTTGTTGTAAACCATCATCAGTCGCACATCAAAACTTTGTTTATATCAGCTGAAATCATGAGAGAGAGTCAGGGAAAACCAAGAAGTTTGTGTGATTATAAAGGAGAACTCAGAACTGCGTACTACATGGAAGCTCTCTTGATAGCGAAGAAGCTGTTGGCAGTGGAGGGAACACACTTTCTATGCCAGGTCCTGATATTTACTACATTTATGTGATTGAGTTTCTACCAGCAAATGGTTTCTCGAGATTCAATGCATTACAAACCCCTCATGGAAAGAGGAGAAAACGTTTTGATGGAATTTGTTAATCAGTGAGTTAATGTTATTTGAATGACAGATACCACAAAGTCGTCTAAGAATATAAGAAACCTTCAGCTCTGTGGAAGTCTAGTTTTCCCCCACTGCCAAAAAAAAATTCAGTTTAAAATCCCCAACTTAACTCAGGTAACAGATGAAGGAAATACAATACCTGGTTTCCCATTCTGATGGGGGGCCGGGGACCTCCTGCATATCGCGGTGACATAAAAGGCTGCAATTACATGAAATTAGTTCAATGACAGGATGCACTCACAGCATGCAGATAAAGAGAATTACTACATTCCAGACAGACTCTGGTTACAATCTACACAATTTTCTGGAGAAATCTCTTTTTTAAAAGTAAGTTGATAAAAACAGATCTTCACACTCCATTTTTGTATTTTTCACAGATTTATTTTTGTTGGCGAGATTGTTTAACGTACTTGGAGAGTACTATATAAGGCTGCTAAAATTAGTGCATGGGAGACCCTGACCATTAGACACTTTCCAAGTGAAAAAGAAAATTGGTAAATGAAGCAAAAAACAAAAACAAAAACACAAAAAAACCCAATGCCAAGAACCAAAAGCCAAGCACTTAAACCATATATACATATCAGTGCTATGAATGCAATTTTTAAAAAAACCACACAAATTAACAAAGTTCTCACACTATCATAGCTATGTATATTTGAAACTTACGAATGGACTTTCTAATCCATTGTCAACTGAACATACAAAATCAAAAGGAAACAAACATTTCATATTGGCGCTGGCATGATGCTGGAAGAATAAATTTGAGGATCAGATCCCCAGCTGGCGTAAATCAGCGAAGCTCCATGAGGATCAAAGGAGCTCTGCTGATTCACATCAGCTGACAATCAGACCCAACAAGCTTAAAGAGCAAAATAGAACGCAAGCCCCGTTATCAGTGCCCTACATATTTCTAGTGTCTTTACCTGACTGTGGGGTCCCATCATGCTGTTAGGATTGTGAGGTGGAGGCTGTGCGTGTGGCGAGGGCTGAGAACCAGGTGGTCCCTGTGAGGTCAGACAGTAGAAGGAGGTTATAGATTAGCACATGAAAGCGCAGAAAGAGCTAAAAAGGATTTATTGGTGGATCTGTTTGTAGGGAAGCCAGTCTCGTTTTAGATGAGTTTCTATTCATTTGTAACTGAACAACGAATAATGATATTTGCAAAAAAAAATAGGACATCTGTCAAAGCACACCAGCAACATTACAGTAAATGGTTCAGAATTCAACCAGTCTGCAATGACAAATACATTTGGATACGCTTTGAAAGTGTGCGTATGGAGAGAAAAAAAAAGTCTTCTCCACAACCCTCCCACACTTTCCTGAAGGTAGGAAACACCTTAAAGGGCTTCCTTTTGATTTGTGGGTCAATGGTTAATACAAGGGATTAAAAATAATGTAGAGGCAAAGATCTTGCTTAGAAGCACATCCCATGTTTGTGCCAGATATTTTTGAAGCTGAAGCCTAGGTTTAGCTCCAATAAATGGATGGCACAACTCCAATCCATTTCTACATGCAGGGCTGTGTTGTTACCCTTAAAGATCCAATATCCTTCCCCAAGACGAATGACCTAATGATGCAAATAAAGTTTCTTTTGAGTAAAGCGATACTAAAACATGTCTGGGGGAAAAAAGAAAGATTAGTGCATGTAGCTTTTAACACCACAAGACAGCAGTTTCTGACATTTTTGGGTTGAACACCAATTTTTTCCCCCTTTAAAGCATGAAAAGAGAAAGTTTGTTTGGAAAATGTGAGCTCTGAGCAAGAATACACTGATGCATGTTAATGTAAAAAAAATAATAAAAATTCAAGTCCAAGAACTTGTAATTGGTATAGAAAGCAAATAAGCCTTGTAAGTATGTTATGTGAAGCAGCCACACACTTCAGTAAAAGCACAGCAGCAGATGTTCTATACCTGCCACGTTACTAATTTCAACAAGTGTTCGCCTTCTAGCTGCTGCCAGCAATGGCATGGTTTGTTACCATGAGCAATTTTCTTAATTAACAGACATTAATTAGCCATTTAGCAATTTTGCAAGCATTTGTTTAGCAGCTTTCCTAAACATGAATACCACTGTGATAATGGTACTGATTAGAGGGGTCCCCTAATTAACAGTACAGGGAAGGAAAATTGAAATCACATAAATTAAAAAGGGAGGGGAAGTTAATGAAGGCAGGACATTTGCACCTGCAAATCTTTTGTACTACAGAAACTTGAGTGCACCGTAAATAAAGAGGAATTTTTTAAGTGTTACACAGAAAGACACAGCCACAAAGATTAAAACAGAAACAGCCCTCTGTCAATCTTCCATGTTTAGTTTATATGCTCATATATATGAAACTCTCTTGCATTAACAGGATATACATAACTAGTCCTACCTTGTAATTTATAACTAGTACAGTAAGGCAAGAATAGTTCTCTCTTGCCTCTCCTAGATTCATTATTCTGGGCAGAAGTCATAACTCAGAGTTGCAACGCCCCACTATGTCCTACCACCAATTTAAAAAAACCCTCCGAATGTTTCCCCCTGCTGACATGTTTGCAGAACTGACATCCTCCCCAAGAGAAATCCTTCCAAAGCAGAGAGGACAAAGCTAGAATCATTGCAATTTGAACACCAATCATTTTGTTTATTTCACTGGGACATTTCAGGCCTTTTTAACATTCCCTCCCTGAACTGAAAGAGGAGAAAATCCCATAATAAACCAAATATCTACTGAATACCAGCTAGACAAGCACAGGGAATGGGGTCTGTCCAGAGTCACTAGGAGAAATCAGTCACATGACAAAAAAAAAAAAAAATTAAATTTTGCCTTTCTTCTGTGATAGATCCACTATGCTAGACAGAAGTCAGACCTTAAGGGAAGCTGCCAGTGTGATCACCACCCACCAACCACATGGGGAAAGTAAATTTGGCCCTGGATCCTACAATTGACAACATGCAGGTGGACTGCTGAGCCTGTGAAGAACTCCACTGAAGTCTATGAAGTCCACCCACATGCTGCGAATTGTAGCTTAGTGAGTAAGTACAAAAACAACAGTCACTACCAATAAAAGAAAAGGGTGATTGTGGGTCAAATGAAAGACACTACAGAGAAACCCTTGCTAGTTAAAACTGCCTCAAGATTAAAGAGATCCTTTATGATGTACATTCAGGTAGCTCGGAGCTCAAAAATGGCCATTTCCCACAAGAAGTATTTTCTCTCTCTATTTATAGATTAGACACCACTCCCTCTTCATCCTGAAACATACACAGAGCAGAGAGACAGGCCTGTTGCCCAAATACTGTATCCAAAGAGGAAAGACCAACTCAATTTTGTAATGTACTGGGAAAGAAGGAATTGACCACAAGTTGGAAAGAAACCTACAAGACTGCCAAGAGGGCTGATGTTTCTCCATCCAATACCTTGCATCTTTGGCAGAATGAACCCCAATCTCTATAGCATTTCCTGGAGTGCTGATTTATCTACCTGGGGAATGGGATGGTTTGATCGCTGCGGCAAAGCAGAGAATGTAGCCGCTTTCATGAGACTGCCCAACACCACAAGCAAGGCATTACCCCTTCCTCCGCAGAGGAGAATGGTTCAGACAGAAATTATTGCCCAGACCGCTTCCTGAGAATGAAAGTGCATTTGTAAGTGGCATAAAGGCTCATGACTGATGGTTCCTTTTCCCGTTGCCTGCTTTAGGAGGAGCTCAGTGTTCTAAGCCAGGCACAGTCTAGGGCTGTCATGCAAACCCACCCGGCCAGAGAGTTGTAACTACAGGTCTACAAAAATGCAATAAAGGAACCCAGCTCGCTTAACCCTCCGACCAAACTGAAAGGCAGGAGAAAGGCGATCTGAAGAGTCAGGAAACAGACACCAAGGATGGCTGTTTGAAAGGAGCATTAGTAAGGGCCAGTTGCACCACTTAAAAAGGTTCTGGTTCCCCGGGTGACCTAATCAGGAGGCAACTGGTAGCTACAGCTACACATAGCGACAGATATCAGGATGCAACCAATGACTTCAGCAGGGGAGGGAGCGTGGCACAGTGATGAGACTAACCTCAATGAGCACCTTCTCAGACCCTTGTGCAAAAAGCCTTCTTAGGGGATCCTAAGGTAACTCCCGGGGGAAAGGAGAGGCATTGTGTGTTGGGGCCTCGCCAATGCCAGAATCTGTATGTGACTCCGTAAGGCCAAGAAAGCAGCAGGAGCGGAGATCAGGAAGCATCAAGGAACCACGATACACCAGGGCTTGCTCTATCCGGAAGAACACACAGTTTGATGCTGGACTCCCTGTGAGGGAGTCTCTGGCCCTTACTGGAACATGGCTGCAGGCTCTGCGCCTGGATTCAGGCTCTGCAGGGGGAGCAGACAGGCGGTGTTCTGCTGCTGTCCTCAAGGGAGTTCCAACCCATCTGCCAGCGAAGCGCGGGGGGGTGGGGAGGGCAGGTTGGCTTGCAGGAAAGGCCGTTACTGGAGGGGATACAGGCCAGCGCCCAGTGTGAAGACTGCCTTGCTGAAACCTCCCTCCCCCCCTCCCCCCCAAGCATACAGCACAGCAGGAGGCAGTGCAGACCTGGTGGTGTGCCAATGGGGCGGTAAGTGCTTGGGGAATCCTTCGGAGCTCAGAAGCACCTGCACTGCACATTAAGAACCCTGCGCTGAACATGCCAGGAAGGGCGGGGGGCGGGACTACTCATGAAGGTTCTCTCCATTCCAAGAAGCCAAGCTGGGGTGAGGGAATTGCCAGGGGGGGAACAAACAAAACACAAAAAACAAAACAGGAACCTTGTTTCCTGGAAAGAGGGGGCGGGGGGAGAAATCACTTGAGAAAGGCTCAGTCAGACAGAAGGGGAAAGGTCTGCTCCATTCCGGGCAGAGCAACTGGGAAGGCTGCAGTCAGCCCAGAAACGCGCCAGCAGGGGGAGCTATCCAGTTCAGTGAGAGCAGCACTGTCACCACTCCGCTGGATTGGCCAGAATACCCAAGAATTTTGGGCTCCCATGCAGAGCAGAGGGCTTATCCCAAGAGCAGTTTAGGCCTTGGCTACACTCGCGGATTCACAGTGCTGCCGCGGCAGCGCTGTGAAGCGCGAGTGTAGTTGCGCCGCTAGTGCTGCGAGAGCTCTCTTGCAGCGCTGCAAGTACTCCACCTCTCCGAGGGGAATAGCAGGCACTGATTACACTGGCGCTTTACAGCGCTGCACTCGCTGCGCTCGGGGTGTGTGTGTGTTTTTTCACACCCTTGAGCGCAGCAAGTGCAGCGCTGTGAATTGCCAGTGTAGCCAAGGCCATAGCTTCAGCAACAGTATTGCTAAACCACCCTCTCCCACCAGCTGATACACCCTGGAGAATTACCAGACTGAGCATCCCTGTGTATTGGCAGGGCTGGCTCCAGGGTTTTTGCTGCCCCAAGTGGTGGCAAAAAAAAAAAAAGGGCAAGCCAGGATCAGCTGCAGCTCCACCGCGCCACTTGCCACTTTCTTCTTCCCCGGCAATTCAGCAGCAGGTCCTTCCCTCCGAGAGAGACCCGCCCCCAAAGAGCCCGACGTGCCGCCCCTTCCCCATGGCCACCCCAAGCACCTGCTTGCTGGGCTGGTGCCTGGAGCCGGCTCTGTGTATTGGTGCTTAACCTGGCAATGGCAAGTGTCTATGTAAACCTAATGGTCTCTCACATTGTGGGGAGGGATAGCTCAGTGATTTGAGCATTGGCCTGCTAAACCCAGGGTTGTGAGTTCAATCCTTAAGGGGACCATTTAGGGATCTGGGGCAAAAATCTGTCTGGGGATTGGTCCTGCTTTGAGCAGGAGGTTGGACTAGATGACCTCCTGAGGTTCCTCCCAACCCTGATATTCTATGATTCATGAGTTACTTGGGTTGGTTGCATATCTAGGGGCTTTCAAGATTTTCACTGACTCTGGGGTATGGCAGGTTGTCACATAAGGAAAAGGGGATATAAACCTGGCACTACCTGCAGGGGAACCTTAGTAGTAATATCACTGACATCAGGTATTCTGCTGC